CCACGAAACATCCACGCCTCGCGCGAGGTAACTTTATCCTGATTCTAAAAATAACTCGAGACGAATTACCTATGGAATAGGGTGTATATGGGGGATGGCCTCTCTGTCCCCTTTATAGTCTCTTGCTTTAATTTGATTCGGAAAACTTGCCGCCTTTTTCTACAACGTTTTTAGCAACATTTTAACCTCCCTAACTTCCTTGCCTTTAACATACACAGAATCATAAAAGCACAAGATGTCTTCCCTTGGCAAAAAATGATGTCGCCCCAGCAGATAATTAATCTTAACAATTACGGAAAAAAGCGTCACATTTCTGCAGTGTCTGTTGCTTGTGTTGCACATGGTACTCCATGGATCTCAGGACTTGATTACGCAAAAATTTAGAAGCTGAGGTTAAAAAAAGGGCTTGTAGCTTTATTGCAGACATATAAATATTCTCCATCAACTCTGCGAACAACAGAGTAAGACCAGGTGACCCGCAGCGAATGACAAGGGAAAAGAGGCCTCTGCCGCTAGCAGGGTGCTAGTATCGGCGCACTACAAGGCATGCAACACTCGCGATCCTTGTTCCAAAGTCTCCCTTCCTCTCCCTTCTTTCCGTTTTCCAAAACGATTTAAAAATGACTTCATGTTATCACTAGTACAACCTTTTTTATTTACAACACCACTAAAACTTACTATTTACACAGCAATGAAGTTTTGTTCGAAATAACCAGAAAAGTCGTTGAACAATGAAACTTAAAGATTCCGAGCAAAAAAAAGTGTAAATGAATTCTTAACTTTTTAGAAAACTTCCGTGTAACGGCTTTCCCTGATGGGCAAAAAGACAGAATTTAACGATCCGTTTAACAATCTACGCGGGCAAACCTGATTGTAAGCATCGGGCAACAAACCTTTGACACGACCGAACTAAAATTACCTATTTAGAGCCTTCAGGTTTAGTGAAACAAAGAACAAAACATAGAATATAGCGGCAAATTAAGTCTCCTTTATTGTAAGAAAATTTTGATCTAACTTCCACTCAATGAAGAATGTTAAACAAACAAACTTAATTGACAGATTTCAAGTGCTTGCTTACAGTGAGTCTTAGGACACAAGCTATGTCGTCCTTGTTAAATGAGGCTGAGTATGATGTGAGGAATTATACCGATAAAGGAGGGTGTTATCGGCCGAGGTGGATAACAGCCTCCGAGATCAGCATAATTCTTCACCTCATATACGAAGGCCAAATACAATAATCGTTTTATTGCTCATTCAAAACATTTCTAATTTCTTAACAAGCTTACTTCCTCGTAGTCTGCTACACAGCCGTTTTATAGTGTCGGCAACTGTGGGAAGGAGCTTTGTGTCTGCTGTGTAGCAGACTTTAAACTGTTTCTCTGTACGGTTTCAGGTAATAAATAACAATTATTCACCGAAGTGGAGGTGGCTAGTATTGGAGATTTACCGAGGCCGCGAAGCGGCGAGGTAAATATCCAATACTAGCCACCGACACTGAGGTGAATAATTGTTTTAGTATATACTAAAACAGTGAAATAATTGAGCACAAAAATGATGATTTTTAACTCATTTACTGTTGCCAACGATTACAATTTTGGCGCGCGATGACCGAACGGCCGCGGTCGTCGCTTTTTCTTAGCGACAAATAAAACTTTTGAAGGCGTTTGTTTAGCTCTTGCGGGGAAGTTTCTTCAAAAGGAGTTGTGAATTGTTTTTGTATTTAAAATAATTCTGTAAAAAAGATTACTAAATTTAGTTTTAAGCTTATTTATGAACAAGTCAACTAAATAAAGTAACGCAAGACTTAAGCTTAATTTGCATTTGTAAACAAAAAACTTTTTCACCGGTTTTATCAATAAATTAAAGTCAAAAAGACAAAAAGCTTTACCTGTTAAAACTTCCAAACCGAACTTCGTCACCTTCTTCATGTATTTCGGAAATAGCTTGCTTGATTAGTTGTGAAATTTCTTAGTTTATTACGGCAGCAAACCGGGAAGGCATTTTGCTCGAAACCTACGCGAGTTTGGCATCGCTCGCTCGGAGGAACTGGAGGTGAATCAGTGAATAGTGCAGGATATTCACTAATTGAGTAGCAAATCAGAGCGCGCGAAAAACACTATCCACTGTTTTAGTATACACTAAACAGATCTATTTCCTTGCAGGTATTCCTCAAAAGGTAAATAACATCCATTGAGCGATATGTTTTGCGTATATTTGCATTTCTCTCATTCAGTTTTAGTATTAGTCAGTAATTCAGATATTCACGCGTCTTGGGATAGCCGTGAACGCCTTTTTTTTAAGCTCACTATCGCCCAAGCAGCCTCGTTTCCAAGCAAATTTACCATCGACCAACCTCGTTTCCAATCTAATTTACCCTCTAATCGATGGCATCTTCCAAATAAAGTAAGCGCCAGTTGGTTATAAATAATAAGCTGGGTAATTGAAAGCAACCAAAACTGGCATCAGCTTCCTCCCTATAGCCCAGTTTTTGGTCTTCCAGTAATCTTTTCTTAACCCTATTCAGACCGGGAATTTTTCTTCCTCCTGCGACCGGGGCGAGGCCTCGTAGCCTCGATCCTCCCTATAACTTCAAAACCGCTCAAGATATGGCCATCAAAATTACACTGACAGTATAATGTACTCATCATTTTAAACATCTAGGCATAACTTGATTGACACAATGACGTAATTTGACCTCATCATGACGTCATATTCTTGCATTTATTAGGAAAATCCAAATTTCCCTTTAAGTAGCCGTAAGCGAAATACACTTAAATTGGAAGGTGTTTAATAAAATCAAGAGGTTAGCTTACACATAAATAATCTTAAACAATAGCAGTAATGTCATGATGACATCAATTATCATTAAAGAAGGAACTAGAACTATTTGCCATCTTAGATCCTTTATTCTGAATTAATTAAATGCATTCTCTTTTACCTAAAACCCGTGTGAATGCAGGAAATCGCGAAAGAAGACTTGATCAGCGTATATAAGAATACTTAGGAAGCAAAACAATCGACAAGTTGTGAAATTGGGAGAGAAATAGCCGCTGTTGAAAATTAAACCCTCAATCTGCCATTTGGTCATTTTATATCAACGTTTTTCTCTCCATTTAAATTAACTCTACATAGCTGGAATTGCAGTAACAGCTTTAATTCAATGAAGAAAAATAGAGGTGAAGCCTTTTTTAATAGAAAAAATGCAAATTAAAAAAGCAGGGCTGTAAAAACTCGGTTGTCATCGTAACATCTAGGTTGCCACGGCAACGAGACTACACGGTACGTCACGATAACTTTTTTTTTTTACAAAAATGTTTGGCGGTCATAGCTTGAACAGTTTTGAAGTTGTTCAACTTTTTAGCTAAGGGGACCTCAAACCCTTCCTCCCCTGGTCTGAAGAGCTATATAGGGTTAAGGTAAATCCCACTGTTAAATTAAAACGGATAATTCATTTGGATAGCTTTGGTTGCTCAGCTGCTGAATCTTATTATTTCGAATACGGATCAAGTTATTAAAGCACTGTATATACGTGAAGATTTTTTTATTTATTCATCAAAGTGTTTGGTGCAATACAGATAACGATGCTGTTTTCTCTGGCTTGTTTGATTCTTTTTCATTTGTCAAGTGGTGAGTTTTACAGTTTAGAATTATGTTTCTAATGTTGTGGAGCAGTCTCGGCTACAGATGAGATAAAAATCCTTTTTCGTCATCAGTCACATAATTATGCCATTTTTAGTATAAAAATTCAGGAGTGGGGAGATGTCAGTTATCAAGTTGTATTTAGCCGCATCGGCAACCTACAATTGACAGCTTTGCCACATAGTTCTCTTAATCACACCATTTTTCCTGCTCTTGATCTACTCTTGGGCAATTTTCACAGGATTGTTACCTAGCACGTTTGTAACAAATATGATAACAACACCAGGCATGCAAGACTTCCTAAAGCTACCCTAGCTGACTTATAATAAAAGAAGGAAAATTGTCGGCATCTACATGGATATGCAGGACAATGTTGATCACCATCACAACAAACTGGAACTAAAAAAGTCTTTATTCTGTTACTCTCAGTGGAAAAATTAGCAACAGTTTTTTATTTGCTATACTTCGTGGTTACATGACCGTTTTATGTTATTGGTGGTGACTTTCAACTTGAAAGCCTTTCACTCCTACTCCTCTTGCGATACGAAGACCTTTGAGGCAATTTTGCTACGAGGCCTTCTTTAATGAAAATAATGACTTACGGCTTAGTGCGAGGTTAAAATTTTAAGGTGGCCGAGGAAAGAAGGTATTATCTGATTTAGTGCACCTTTATCCATCGGTTTCGAAACCAACAGTTCAGTTTTGTGTTTTATACTTTACGGATCTGCTTTTCCATTTGTTTAAAGAAAATAACCTGTTTATTACAATGGAAAGGTTCTTAACATATTAAGTAATATTGGGTAACGTGACGATCTATAGGGCTCGTATGGGAACGTAAAAACTCGTAAAAGTTGATTATTCTTAACTTACTTGTGCTAAAAGCCTACATTGCTTAAAAAAGACGAAAGAACTCAAAACAGGGCACGAAAAAGTTTATTTTATTTCTTTTCTCCACAATAAGCTAAGTGAAGGCGAATATTATCGAGTTTACTTTTCCCCAAAAGAATCATCTTAAATCGTTACGTTGCGCATTGTTTGCAATATTGATTAGTAGCCGCTTAACTAGTGACTAGCTATTAGATGATTGTGATTTTACCAAATCATATTTATTTATTCCTTTCTTCATTTTTTCGGCCTTTCGTTCATTCATTCGTTTACTGGTCATTCATTCCCTTTTCACCTTTCTTCCCTTTATTCCTTTCTTCCTTCGTTCCTTCATTCATTCAAGTCATTTCCGTCGCAATACTAAATTATGGACTAAAGCACACGTACCAACTCCGCGGTATGGCCACTTTCCCCCGCTCATTGACCCGACGGCCATACCATGCCGATGAGCCCCAATAAGGACAAAACAGCTGTCTATGGCTGCCACTGCCGGAGTGATACGGTTGTACGCATGCGTAAGGTATTGGCCCTACCGAGGAGTTGGTAAGAGTGCTTCAGTGCATAATTTGGTATCATTTCCATTGCCCCTGGATATAGCACTTTATATCTATTTGTGCATAGATATCCAAGTAGGAAAAAAAAATTAATTACAATCCAAAGACATTGTAAGTTTTTCTCTATAGGTTGGCTTTTTAAATCTGAGGTCTGTTATGACAAATATGGATGCTTTGACCTTCATCCGAATCTTCTGGTGCAGTTTCCACAAGAACCATCCAAACTTGGAACATCTTTTCTCCTATTTACCAGGAAAAACAGTCGGACTGCGAAAATCATTGATGACAGCGATGTAAACAAGCTCAGAGATTCATTTTTCGAGATTTCCAGACGGACGATTTTTCTTATTCATGGATTTACAGGTAAAGTCCAGCTTTTACTAATTCTAAAGCTGATCAAATTAAACATTTATTACTAAGGCGTAGTAAGCAGTGGCGGATCTAGGGAAGGGGTCTCGGGGACCCAAAAGTCAAAAAGACAAAAAGCTTTACCTGTTAAAACTTCCAAACCGAACTTCGTCACCTTCTTCATGTATTTCGGAAATAGCTTGCTTGATTAGTTGTGAAATTTCTTAGTTTATTACGGCAGCAAACCGGGAAGGCATTTTGCTCGAAACCTACGCGAGTTTGGCATCGCTCGCTCGGAGGAACTGGAGGTGAATCAGTGAATAGTGCAGGATATTCACTAATTGAGTAGCAAATCAGAGCGCGCGAAAAACACTATCCACTGTTTTAGTATACACTAAACAGATCTATTTCCTTGCAGGTATTCCTCAAAAGGTAAATAACATCCATTGAGCGATATGTTTTGCGTATATTTGCATTTCTCTCATTCAGTTTTAGTATTAGTCAGTAATTCAGATATTCACGCGTCTTGGGATAGCCGTGAACGCCTTTTTTTTAAGCTCACTATCGCCCAAGCAGCCTCGTTTCCAAGCAAATTTACCATCGACCAACCTCGTTTCCAATCTAATTTACCCTCTAATCGATGGCATCTTCCAAATAAAGTAAGCGCCAGTTGGTTATAAATAATAAGCTGGGTAATTGAAAGCAACCAAAACTGGCATCAGCTTCCTCCCTATAGCCCAGTTTTTGGTCTTCCAGTAATCTTTTCTTAACCCTATTCAGACCGGGAATTTTTCTTCCTCCTGCGACCGGGGCGAGGCCTCGTAGCCTCGATCCTCCCTATAACTTCAAAACCGCTCAAGATATGGCCATCAAAATTACACTGACAGTATAATGTACTCATCATTTTAAACATCTAGGCATAACTTGATTGACACAATGACGTAATTTGACCTCATCATGACGTCATATTCTTGCATTTATTAGGAAAATCCAAATTTCCCTTTAAGTAGCCGTAAGCGAAATACACTTAAATTGGAAGGTGTTTAATAAAATCAAGAGGTTAGCTTACACATAAATAATCTTAAACAATAGCAGTAATGTCATGATGACATCAATTATCATTAAAGAAGGAACTAGAACTATTTGCCATCTTAGATCCTTTATTCTGAATTAATTAAATGCATTCTCTTTTACCTAAAACCCGTGTGAATGCAGGAAATCGCGAAAGAAGACTTGATCAGCGTATATAAGAATACTTAGGAAGCAAAACAATCGACAAGTTGTGAAATTGGGAGAGAAATAGACGCTGTTGAAAATTAAACCCTCAATCTGCCATTTGGTCATTTTATATCAACGTTTTTCTCTCCATTTAAATTAACTCTACATAGCTGGAATTGCAGTAACAGCTTTAATTCAATGAAGAAAAATAGAGGTGAAGCCTTTTTTAATAGAAAAAATGCAAATTAAAAAAGCAGGGCTGTAAAAACTCGGTTGTCATCGTAACATCTAGGTTGCCACGGCAACGAGACTACACGGTACGTCACGATAACTTTTTTTTTTTACAAAAATGTTTGGCGGTCATAGCTTGAACAGTTTTGAAGTTGTTCAACTTTTTAGCTAAGGGGACCTCAAACCCTTCCTCCCCTGGTCTGAAGAGCTATATAGGGTTAAGGTAAATCCCACTGTTAAATTAAAACGGATAATTCATTTGGATAGCTTTGGTTGCTCAGCTGCTGAATCTTATTATTTCGAATACGGATCAAGTTATTAAAGCACTGTATATACGTGAAGATTTTTTTATTTATTCATCAAAGTGTTTGGTGCAATACAGATAACGATGCTGTTTTCTCTGGCTTGTTTGATTCTTTTTCATTTGTCAAGTGGTGAGTTTTACAGTTTAGAATTATGTTTCTAATGTTGTGGAGCAGTCTCGGCTACAGATGAGATAAAAATCCTTTTTCGTCATCAGTCACATAATTATGCCATTTTTAGTATAAAAATTCAGGAGTGGGGAGATGTCAGTTATCAAGTTGTATTTAGCCGCATCGGCAACCTACAATTGACAGCTTTGCCACATAGTTCTCTTAATCACACCATTTTTCCTGCTCTTGATCTACTCTTGGGCAATTTTCACAGGATTGTTACCTAGCACGTTTGTAACAAATATGATAACAACACCAGGCATGCAAGACTTCCTAAAGCTACCCTAGCTGACTTATAATAAAAGAAGGAAAATTGTCGGCATCTACATGGATATGCAGGACAATGTTGATCACCATCACAACAAACTGGAACTAAAAAAGTCTTTATTCTGTTACTCTCAGTGGAAAAATTAGCAACAGTTTTTTATTTGCTATACTTCGTGGTTACATGACCGTTTTATGTTATTGGTGGTGACTTTCAACTTGAAAGCCTTTCACTCCTACTCCTCTTGCGATACGAAGACCTTTGAGGCAATTTTGCTACGAGGCCTTCTTTAATGAAAATAATGACTTACGGCTTAGTGCGAGGTTAAAATTTTAAGGTGGCCGAGGAAAGAAGGTATTATCTGATTTAGTGCACCTTTATCCATCGGTTTCGAAACCAACAGTTCAGTTTTGTGTTTTATACTTTACGGATCTGCTTTTCCATTTGTTTAAAGAAAATAACCTGTTTATTACAATGGAAAGGTTCTTAACATATTAAGTAATATTGGGTAACGTGACGATCTATAGGGCTCGTATGGGAACGTAAAAACTCGTAAAAGTTGATTATTCTTAACTTACTTGTGCTAAAAGCCTACATTGCTTAAAAAAGACGAAAGAACTCAAAACAGGGCACGAAAAAGTTTATTTTATTTCTTTTCTCCACAATAAGCTAAGTGAAGGCGAATATTATCGAGTTTACTTTTCCCCAAAAGAATCATCTTAAATCGTTACGTTGCGCATTGTTTGCAATATTGATTAGTAGCCGCTTAACTAGTGACTAGCTATTAGATGATTGTGATTTTACCAAATCATATTTATTTATTCCTTTCTTCATTTTTTCGGCCTTTCGTTCATTCATTCGTTTACTGGTCATTCATTCCCTTTTCACCTTTCTTCCCTTTATTCCTTTCTTCCTTCGTTCCTTCATTCATTCAAGTCATTTCCGTCGCAATACTAAATTATGGACTAAAGCACACGTACCAACTCCGCGGTATGGCCACTTTCCCCCGCTCATTGACCCGACGGCCATACCATGCCGATGAGCCCCAATAAGGACAAAACAGCTGTCTATGGCTGCCACTGCCGGAGTGATACGGTTGTACGCATGCGTAAGGTATTGGCCCTACCGAGGAGTTGGTAAGAGTGCTTCAGTGCATAATTTGGTATCATTTCCATTGCCCCTGGATATAGCACTTTATATCTATTTGTGCATAGATATCCAAGTAGGAAAAAAAAATTAATTACAATCCAAAGACATTGTAAGTTTTTCTCTATAGGTTGGCTTTTTAAATCTGAGGTCTGTTATGACAAATATGGATGCTTTGACCTTCATCCGAATCTTCTGGTGCAGTTTCCACAAGAACCATCCAAACTTGGAACATCTTTTCTCCTATTTACCAGGAAAAACAGTCGGACTGCGAAAATCATTGATGACAGCGATGTAAACAAGCTCAGAGATTCATTTTTCGAGATTTCCAGACGGACGATTTTTCTTATTCATGGATTTACAGGTAAAGTCCAGCTTTTACTAATTCTAAAGCTGATCAAATTAAACATTTATTACTAAGGCGTAGTAAGCAGTGGCGGATCTAGGGAAGGGGTCTCGGGGACCCACCCCCCCCCCCCTTATTTTTAGACCAAACTGAGGGGCCGAAACAATTTTTTTAAGACCACCCGTCCCCCCCCCCACCTTATCTCAGGGTTTAGAAGACCGCCCCCTCCCCCCCCCCCCTTATCTGAAGGTCTGGATCTGCCACTGGTGAGAGCGCTACCAAAATAATACTTATAAATAACAAAAAAAAAACAGCTACACGACATTTAGTACATTTTTTAGTGGAACCTCGATATAACGAACCTTGATATAACGACATTGGCATAACGAACGATTTTCTTTAACCAAGTAATAGTAAAATATATGAAAAAGAACCTTGATATAACGAAAGCTCCTAATAGCGAACAGATTTTGCCAGTCCCTTGCATTTTTGGCCGTTCGGCGTTATATCTAGGTTCCAGTAGCTTTCCAGTGTAACTATACTAATGGTTCGGAATTCGGAATCTTACAGAAGTGGTCTCTAAAAATAACTTAAATTCACTCCATTGTGTCAAACGAAAACCAAAGTTTGTGTATTTCACGTCTTACTAGGCAATCTTGAGGGTATTTATTATGAAATCAAAGGCGCACTGTTGAATCGTGAGGACTGCAACGTGATAATGGTAGACTGGTCCAAAGGAGCTGCATCCCCATATGGTCAAGCCACTGGGAATGCCAGGCTTGTTGGGGCTCAGATAGGAGAGCTCATAAGGTTTCTCATCGCCAGTAATTCTCACTCGCATAGTTCCGCTGTAAATCGGTTCTACATTGTGGGCCACAGCCTTGGAGCACAAGTCGCAGGTTACGCTGGGAGTTATTTGCAGGATAAGTATGGATTGAGCTTGGGCCGCATAACAGGTAAATAATCGAATACGTTATATAAATGAAGAAAGTTATGTCCTTTACACCACACTTGATCACGCTTACCATTTTTATTGGCTATCAGGCTTAGATCCTGCTAGTCTGTTTTTCATAACAGTCTCGACCAGCTTTCGGCTTGATAAAAGTGACGCTCAATATGTTGATGTCATTCATACCAACGCTGGGATCCAGGGAACTATCCGTGTGAGCGGTCACACCGACTTTTGGCCAAATGGTGGAAGCATCCAGCCAGGCTGTCCTCTCAGTGATCTGACAAAAAGTAAGCATTTACAAAATGGAGACAATCATAATTATTCGCTCGAAATATTTCTTATCTTTTTACGGAATTTGGGAGGTAGTTCTGATTTTTATCGAACCAATTCTTGGGTAAATACACACATTTTAATTAAGCAGTCTACGAGAAGAGAATAAATGTTTTTCAAATGTTTTTTATAACTTTTCTCTGGTATTGAAATAATATAATGCTTGACAGTTGAGGTAACTCCAAGAATAAAACTCGAACGCACTCATTAATCTATGATAATTGCTACTAGTATAGTCTGAGGAGGTCACCTGACCTACAGGCAAACGTAATTGCTTTCTGTAACGTTTTCATTGCCATCGTCGTCGGTCGTCATTTCGTTAATTCGCTTAATAACCTTCCAACGAGCAGAGGTGGCAAGAAAATCACCATTTAACTATAACATACATTATTCGCATCACCCAGACAAAAATTTCCTCATTTGCCTTTTGTATGAATTCATTTGTTATTTTTTTAAAGATTGCGACCACGGAAGGGCACCAAAGTATTTCCTCGCGTCTGTTGAAGGATCATGCTCCTGGAAAGCCTATCCGTGTGCTAATTACATCACATTTCTGAAAGGGAGTTGCACAAGCTGTAATGGCGAATGTCCAAGCTTGGGTTTCGATGCTGATCTTACTAAAAAGGAAGGAAGCTTCTACTTGCAAACAACCTCGAAGGATCCTTTTTGTGGTACGATGTAATCTATTAATAACAACTTATTCATGTAGGCACGTGTTCAATGCACCTTTTTTGTCCTTTTATATATCATGATCACAGTTCTTGTTCACTGTTGTAAAGAATGCGAAAGAAAAGGAAGAAAAAAATTACTGAAACGTTCCATTACAGGCACTGGAGCCAATTCAAACTTCTCAAACTCCCTAAATATTACCCCCTGAGATTCAATTTTGGTTTTGTCAGAAATCAGATCTACTGCTGATCGTTTGATACCGGATTCCGTTTTGAATGTAAATAACCGAAATAGATACAAATGATGTTTCGCTTTTTCTCAGCCTTACATTGGACAGTATCTACACGGAATTTAAGTAGAAGGCCGCAGGCCTACCTTGTCTTTGATAAAAAAAGGCAAACATTGCAAAGCTAATAAGTAAAACTCTAATCACGTGTAGGGTTTAACTACCGTACTCGGTTTCTGCTACATGAATTTGGTGATCCGTACCTATTCCCGGGGGGAAGAGCTCCTCGTCCATTCTATTTCAACCCGAGTCATCATACGTTACATTAAAGTTGTCACACTATACCTCGCAAATTTTCCTGATGATAAGCACGAGAGATCTTGTCCTCAACCTCCTTTTCTTGGTGCATGATTAATTCTTTTATTCTTTTGAAAGACAGTTATACTGGTTTGGTTGAGCAGTAAATTTTTTAGGAGAAATTAAATGCTGATCAATGTTAGAGGGAAGGAAGCGTCTGGGATACTTTGGCTAGAGCAAAATATCTTTTCGAACGAAACATCACAAATATTAATACTTCTACCCTGCTTAGTTTGGACAAAACAGATAAATAGGACATTTTCTCCTTTATTGCAGGAAAGACGAAACAGCAGGAGTAATGGTTCAATAATGGTGCCTTGTTTACTTTGTCGGTTAATTTTACGCACCTTAAAGTTATTGTACTGTCTGCAATAAAATCAGTGATATGTTTTAAGTCTGGGTGCTTTTGTTTATTCCGATTTATTTATAGATCCAGTCGAAAAGGCTTAGATTTGAAAAATTTGACACTTTCTACAGTTACTTTTATAATCAACTAGATACACAGTTAATACAAAAGTAAAAACAAATTGAGCTTTTTTCGCTTGGATTGTCCATAGTTTACTCTTGCATGTGGAATCCGGAATTCTGGACTTTGGAATCGGGAAAACAGCTCAAGGAATCCGGAATCCAAGTTCCACTGACAAAGAATCCAGAATCCAAGACGGTCTTGGGTTTCCTTACACAATGCATGGGGCGATTACAATGTATATCGAGACAAACTCTACTTTATTCGCTTCTTAATGTTATGTATATAACTTAGACTCAAACGCCACTGAAGCAACAAACGAATAACTTGACAGAGGAAAATTTAACTAACTATAGCTACCGTTCCGTTAGGACTGTGACACAAGACGAATCACAACGTACTACTAATCACATTTAGAGTCTTCAAATCANTGCACCCCCTCCTGAAAAAAATCCTGGATCCGCCCCTGCACCCGGTTAATACGGACACTTTCTATGACACCCGGGGTTTGACTCTCGGTATTCTATTTGACACTGACGGCAAAGTCAGCTGCTGCTGCACGTTTTTTTATTTCTATACCTATTCGGAATTGTTATTATAATGCGATGTATATTACCAAGGACGGTGATTGTGAAACTGTTTTTAAGATTAGTGTCAATTAAACTGTCTGCAGTAAATGAAGTCAAATGTTATGAAATATGAATATTTCCATTTTTTCCCTTTCTTATTAGTTGGTTTAAATTTGATTTAGAAACCTTGCCGACACTTTCTACAAGGTTTTTAGCAACATTTTGACCTCCATAATGCTTTGACTTTAACATACACAGATCAGAAGCATAAAAAAGTTCCCTTGACAAAAAAGTAAGCGTGTCGCCCAAACAGATAACCTTGTAATTACAGATAATAGCGTCACGTTTCTGCAGTGTTTGTTGCTTGTGTTTTGCATGGTATTCCATGCATCTCAAGACTTGCTTAGGTAAAAATTTAGAAGCTACAGGTTCAATAAAATAAAAAAGGTTTGTTCGTTATTGTTATATTCCTAGACTTCTAGACTTTCACTCAACTAAACAGGAACTGTCATTGGTTGATTCTTGGTCACATGGCCTTGACTCTTAACCCCGCTTGGGATTGCTCAGGATGCATAATTAAATTACAGCACGTGATCAAAGCATGGTGGAAAGTGGCATAACAGAAGGCGGGAAAAACACTGGAAGTTTTCACTTTCGGGGATGAACACAACAAGAGTCCACAACACAAACAGGAAGCCTCATGCAAGCTAAAAAGGAACGATTTTCAAAGTTATCCCTGAAGAGAAATAGCAGCTAGTGGAGGGAAAAGATGCAGATAATAATGATAAGGAAAATACTTTGTAAATCATTCATTCAGTGGTTTTGAGCCAATTAAATTTGTGTTCTTATAACAACCGAGTCGACTGTTTTGATTCGCTCCGGTTATCGTTTTGTCGCTGTTGAAGTGAAAGTCAAGAAATATAACAAAAGAGTTAATATCAGGTCCCTCGGCATTTTCGGGGACCTAGGGGCAGTTAGCCGGGACGATAGAATATTCGAGATGAAATTTATAGTAAACTTTCACCACGAACATTTTATTGTCACGACTCAGACTGCTCCTGGGTCTCCAAGGATGCATGGTCCCTCGGGAAACCAATTAGTCTTATTTTCCCTCGAGTCCTGATAATTCCCTTGACTTCATCTCGGGAAAAATCAGGACTCTCGGGAAAACAAAACTAACTGTTTCCCTCGGTGATCTGACATGAAGTTATAATATTCTGTCAACTCGGCGAACAACAGTCTAAGATGACCAGCAAATGACAGAGGAAAAGAGGCCTGATCTGCTAGCTGGGTGCTAGTATCGGCGCACTACAAGGCATGCAATACAAAGTCTCCCTTCCCCTCCCTTCTTCCCGTTCTCCAAAACAATTTAAAGATGACTTCATGTTATCACTAAGTACAACCCTTTTTATTTACAACACTATTGGAAATTACTATTTACAAAGCAACGAACTAAAATATTTTTTCTCTTACAATTAAACTACTGTATGACATATTTTGAATGCTATGTTTTGTACACATCTTACTTACAAAACCTATAAACTCTTCAAAGATCTTTCAGGCCATTCATCGAATTCAATATATTCTAACACTTTTCAAAAGTCTTATCCGAACTTAGTATGGTTGATATCTGTAGAGGGCACGGCTGTACGGCAGTCTTGCGGGCTCAACAGATCTGATTGTGAGCTGGTCAGGGTGGAACTTAGGTAAACGGTTTGACTTGACTGAAAGTTGACGACTGACAACTGTTCTCTGGTTTATATCTCTAAAGTAGCTTTCCATCACTGCACAGGACACTCGTTCTCCTTGTTTGCAGTGATCTGGATAGGGTCGGCTAAAAAACTGGTTTGACGGGCTGGTCTGACAAACAAATGACATCTTTCTCGCCAGTTTCCTTGTTTCCTCGTCGGTTTTGAAACCAGCACTACAAGAAAGAGAAAACAAAACTTAGTTATTAGTTCAATTAGGGCAATAACAGCGAAAGTTCACACAACAAACAGAACCCATAATAATTTGAAAGAATTCCAAAGCATTTTAATTTCTGACATCAAAATAGCGTTTAAATCGCCTTAAGAGTTTTACATTTAATTACTAAAGAATTACAAGATTGCTAAAAAATAAATGACTTGGAAAATAACGATGACTAACATGAGGTGAAACTTTGCAGGATTACATGCAATTATACTATCCGAAAAAATCACATCGCAATTCGAGCTTTGAACCGATCAACATTTACGTCTTAATACTTTCCGGCAACACTGAAAATGATTAGAACAAAACCAAACTGAAATTTCATTCCTTTTAGGTTACAAATGCTCATTGTTTCCTGAAATTTACGGTTCATGATAGGAAACATGAAAGATAGAAACTCACCTTCAGACTTTTAGCCGTGATTCCCAGTCTTTGTACAAGTTCCTCCTCGTCTTCCTTTAGCAAATATGGCCGCTGTATGAATGCTAATTCCATCTCGAAAAGTTCGATCGGTGAGAAGGTCGTGCGCTGTCGCTTCTTTTTCGTTGAATGTTCGGTTGGAGTTGAAGCTTGATCGGGCTCACTGTCACAATCGCTGCTGGAACTTGTGATGTCAAAGTAACGAGTTCACGGTGGACTGGTTGCTCTGTCGCTGGAACGCGGACTTGCGCAGTCGGAGTAAGGAGATAACGGCGGACTGGTGTCACTGTTGCATTCTGTAAATTAAAAATGAATTGAATTTTAGTTTTTTAAATGTCACCTACAATTTCCTCTTCATCTCTCTTAAATACAATTAGTCAACATTCTAGACACATATGTTTTAATGGTTATTCCTACGGACAATTTTTGTTTCACAATACCGCTCTATTGGTCAGTTTTAACAACAGAAATATCCTGTGAAAAGCTGAGTATTTCTCTTTTTCTTTTTCCAAGATGGATCCAAATGGTAGAAGGGCGACTTGTAGATAAAAATTGATTTTGAAATGGTCATTGCGATAATCAAGAATGCCAAATAATACCTTCGACTAAGAGCTAGAGTATCTAAAGATGAAACTTTAAACTTACCGGAAATTGGGGGAGATTGAGTGATGTCACGTTCTAGACTCAGGATACTGCAGATGGAGAAGTCCGTTAGAGACTTGTTGGAGACTGGAGCCAAGGATGCTTCACCAACAGGAACTTGATTTGATGACAGTATACGTGACTTTCTGACATGCGTATTACGTACAAGAGAATCCACAAGGGAAACGATAGATGTGAACTGAGCACAATCCATTTGACTGAGCTGATAACTTTTCACAGTACAGTTGAGCAACAAACTGAGTGAAGAGTCGTTTGGAGCTGAAACCTTATTTATACTCTGCATTTACCGAGCAACAAAGCTATCGGCCCGACAAAAAAATTATTTATCGACCCGCATGCGCGTACCGGCGGCGGTTCTTTTAAAAGACCTGAAACCGATAAAGAGCCGGCGATCGCGGTTTAATCTGACTAACTAGCATAATCTTGGATAACAAAGTTTTCAAAAGTGGCTTTTATTGTTTATTGACGGAGACGAATCCTTATTTTCAGTAAAAATGCATAATTTAATGATCTTTTTTTGCGAAATAAGCCGCGAAACAATGTAATGAAACGAAAGATTCCACGAAAATTATCATGAGAAATCAAAACCTTTAGTAACAACTTCTCCCGAAAAGACTGACTGTATATAGTGACTCAGTATTTGCAATAATGCTGGCAAACAATTGTAAAGACAGCATTTAAGCCTTTAGGATTAATTGAATACAACTATCTGGAGCTTGGAGGGTCGCGAGTTCGAATCTCCATTTTGATGGCATTGTCGAGTTTATTTGTATATATTTGCTAAACCGTTTTCTGACTGAAAAATAGCGTTGAAATTGCCTTCTGAAATGTAACATTATAGGTCACATCACTTAAAGAAAACACTATGATTTTATTTCGAAGAAATTTAGGAAATTACGATGACAATAAGTTTTACTTTTATTTGCAAGATCACATGTAATTACCGGCAGGTATACGTCGGAACAAATCATACCGCTGTTCAAAATATTTCGGACTGAAATATCGCGTTACAGTTGCCTAGCTACGAATTGTAATTCCGTTCCTCTTAGGGTACAAATACACATTGTTTCTTTTAATTTATGTTCATGATAGGAAACATGAATGATAGAAACTCACCTTTAAACTTTTAGCCGTGATTCCGAGTCTTTGTACAAGTTCCTTCTCGTCTTTCTTTAGCAAATATGGCCGCCGTCTGAATGCTAATTCCAGCTCCCAAACTTCGATCAGTAAGAAGGTCGTGCGCTGTCGCCTCTTTTTCGTTGAATGTTTGGTTGGAGTCGAAGCTTGATCTAGTCTCCTTCGCAGCCGTTTTTAGGGTCGTCACGCAACGCTCCTCCTCACTAAGTGGGGAGGAGCGTTGCGTGACGACCCTAATAACGGCCGCCAAGGAGACTAAGCCTGATCGGGCTTACCGTCACAATCGCTGCTGGAACTTGGGATGTCAAGGTAAAGGAGTTAACGGTGGACTGGTTTCCCTGTGGTTGGGACACGGACTTGCGCAGTCCCGGCGGAGTAAGGCGATATCACTGTTGCATTCTGTAAATTAAAGATGAATTAAATTTTAGTTTTTCAAATGTCACGTAATATTTCCTCTTAATTTCACTTTAAATACAAGTAGTCAACATCACTATAGACACATGCTTTAATGTTTATTCCTACGGACAATTTTGGATAGGTAAGTTGTTTCATAATACCGCTCTAATGGTTAGTTTTAACAACAGAAATCTCCTGCCTAAAGCTGAGTATTTCTCTTTTTCTGTTTCCAAGCTAAAAAAAGATTGATTAAAATATTATAGTAGTGAGGCAAGGAGATAAAAACCAATTTCTAATGATCATTGCAGTAATCAAAAATGCCAAATAATGGCCTCGAAAACGACCTCGAGTATCGGAAGCTAGAATTCTTAACTTATCAGAACTTGATACTATGTTTGTTAACAGCAGGGGGGGCTAGGTAACTCTATTGTTTTCCACCTAAGTTTCTTGAGCCACTCTGCCTGCCAGTATGACGTCACCTGGTAACGGGCAAGATGTGTAAATTAGCAAGCGATACGACAGTTATTTGGACGAGCAAGGTCGAGGGAAAGCTAAGAAGCTAGCAAATATCGCTCTACATCGCTTATTTGATCGAATGTGTGTGAGTTTTGGTGTTGCTATAATCTGCTTGTGTAAACCCGGTTTTGATATCAGTTTTGTGACCGTGATTGTATAATTTTGTTAATTTGTTTTGCGGGCCGTGTTGCGGGATCGCCATCTATTTCACGGGACCGGCAAGGTCATCAAAACTTAAATCTTTTTTTCTCTAAACTAGGCAAAGTCTAGTCTCCAGAATAGGAGGTTCCATTCACAGATCACGCATGTTTGTATTTCATCTATTCTTTTGCTAATTAAATGGGCGTAACTTCATACCGTTCCTTTCGAGCGGTCATAGCTTGAACAGTTTTAAAGTTATTCAACTTTTTAACTAAGGGGGCCTCAAACCCTTCCTCCCCTGGTCTGTATAGCTTTATAGGGTTAAGGTAAATCCCACTGTTAAATTAAAACGGCTGCTTATTTTGAATACGGATCAAGTTATTAGAGCACTGTTTATACGTGAAGATTTCTTTATTTATTTATCAAAGTGTTTGGTGCAATACAGATAACGATGCTGTTTTCTCTGGCTTGTTTGATTCTGTTCCATTTGTCAAGTGGTGAGTTTTAGAGTTTAGAATTATGTTTCTAAGGTTGTGGAATAGTCTCGGCTACAGATGAGGCGGAAAACCCCTTTCGTCATCAGTCGCATGTGCCATTTTTAGTACAAAAATTCAGGTGTGGGGAGTTGTCAGTTATCAAGTTGTATTAAGCCACGTTGGTAACCTACAATTAGGAGCGTTGCCACATGCATGGTTCTCTTGATCACACCATTTTTCCTGCTCTTGATCTACTGTTGGGCAATTTTCACAGGATTGTTAACTAGCACGTTTGTATCAAATTTGACCATAACACCAGGCTTGCAAGACGGCACGCCTTCCTAAAGCTACCTTAGCTGACTTATAATAAAGGACGGAAAATTTTGTCCGCGACTACATGGATGTGCAAGACAATGCATGTTGATCACCATCACAACAAACTGGAACAAAAAAAAGTCTTAAACCGGTTACTTTCAGTGGAAAAATTAGCAATAGTTTTTTATTTGCTATACTTCGTGCTTAGATGACCGATGATATTATTGGTGGTGACTTGCAATTTAAAAGCTTTTCACTCCCCTTGCGATACGAAGACCTTTGGGACAATTTTGTTACGAGGCCTTCTTTATAATGAAAATAATGACTGAGCGCTTAGTGCGAGGTTAAAATTTTTAAGTGGCCGAGGAGTGAAGGCATTATCTCATTTAGTGCACCTTTATCCATTGTTTTGAAATAAACGGTTCAGTTTGGTGTTTTTTACTTTACGGATCTGCTTTTCCATTTGTTTAAAAAAAAGTAACTTGTTCAATGCAATGGAAGGGTGCTTAACATATTGAGTAATATTGCGTAACGTGACGATCTATAGAGCTCGTATGGGAACGTAAAATTCGTGAAAATTATTCTTAACTTACTTGTGCTAAAAGCCTAGATTGCTTTAAAAAGACAAAAGAACTCAAAACAGGGTCCTTAATAAGCTAAGTGAAGGCGAATATTATCGATTTTACGTTTCCCCAAAAGAATCATCTTAAATCGTTACGTTGCGTATTGTTTGCTAGATTGATTACTAAGCGTTCAACTAGTGACTAGCTATGAGATGATTGTGATTTTACCAAATCATATTTCCTTCCTTCATTTTTCGGTCTTTCGTTCATTCATTCAGTTACTGGCCATTCATTCCCTTTTCTCCTTTCTTCCCTTTTTCCTTTCTTCCTTCGTTCCTTCATTCATTCAAGTCATTTCCTTTCCAATACTAAATTATGGACTAAAGCACACGTACCAACTCCGCGGTATGGCCACTTTCCCTCGCTCATTGACCCAACGGCTATGCCATGCCGATGAGCCCCAATAAAGACAAAACAGCTGTCTATGGCCGGAGTAATATGAATGTGCGCATGCGTAAGGTATTGGCCATACCGCGTAGTTGGTACGTGCGCTTCAGTGCATAATTTGGTATCATTTCCGTTGCCCCTGAATATAGCACCTTATATCTATTTGTGCATAGATATCCAAGTCGGAAAAAAATCAATTACAATCCAAAGACATTGTAACTTTTTCTCTATAGGTTGGCTTTTTAAATCCAAGGTCTGTTATGACAAATATGGCTGCTTTGACCGTCATCCGAATCCTCTGGTGCAGTTTCCACAAGAACCATCCAAACTTGGAACATCTTTTCTCCTTTTTACCAGGAAAAACAGTCAGACTGCGAAAATCATTGATGACAGCGATGTAAACAAGCTCAGAGATTCATTTTTCGAGATTTCCAGACGAACGATTTTTCTTATTCATGGATTTACAGGTAAGATCCAGCTTTTATTAATTATGAAGTTGATCAAATTAAACATTTATTAGTTATTACTAGGCGGAGTAAGCAGTGGCGGATCCAGGGGAGGTGCCCCGGGGCCCCCCTTATTTTCTGGACCAAACTGAGTCCTGAAGGGGCCGAAACAATTTTTTTTAAGACCGCCCCCCCCCCCCTTATCTCAGGGTCTAGAAGACCGCCCCCCCCCCCACCCCCTCCTTATCTGAAGGTCAGGACCTGCCACTGGAGAGAGCGCTACCAAACTAATACTTATAAATAACCAAAAAAAACCCAGCTACATGACATTTAGTACTTTTTTTAGTGGAACCCGATATAACGAACCGTGATATAACGACCTCGGCATAACGAACTATTTTCTTTAACCAAGTAATAGTAAAATATATGAAAAAGAACCTCGATATAAGGAAAGCTCCTAACAGCGAACAGATTTTGCCATTCCCTTGCATTTATGGCCTTCCGGCGTTATATCTAGGTTCCAGTGTAACTATACTAAGGGTTCGGAATTCGAAATCTTACAGAAGTGCTCTCTAAAAGTAACTTAAATTCACTCCATTGTGTCAAACGAAAACCAAAGTTTGTGTATTTTACGTCTTACTAGGCAATCTTAAGGATATTTATTATGAAATCAAAGGCGCACTGTTAAATCGTGAGGACTGCAACGTGATAATGGTAGACTGGTCCAAAGGAGCTGCATCCCCATATGGCCAAGCCACTGGGAATGCTCGGCTTGTTGGGGCTCAGATAGGAGAGCTCATAAGGTTCCTCATGGCCAGAACTTCTCACTCGCATAGTTCCGCTGTAAATCGATTCTACATTGTGGGCCACAGCCTCGGTGCACAAGTCGCAGGTTACACTGGGAGTTATTTGCAGGATAAGTATGGATTGAGCTTGGGCCGCATAACAGGTAAATAATCAAATACGTTATATAAATGAAGAAAGATACGTCCCTTACACACACTGGTCACGCTAACCATTTTTATTGGCTCTGAGGCTTAGATCCTGCTAGTCTGTTTTTCATAACAGTCTGGACCAGCTTTCGGCTTGATAAAAGTGACGCTCAATATGTTGATGTCATTCATACCAACGCTGGGATCCAGGGAACTATCCGTGTGAGCGGTCACACCGACTTTTGGCCAAATGGTGGAGGCATCCAGCCAGGCTGTCCTGTCAGTGGTCTGACAAAAAGTAAGCATTCACAAAATGGAGACATCCATAATTATTCGCCCGAAATATTTCTTATCTTTTTACGGAATTTGGGAGGTAGTTCTGATTTTTATCGAACAAATTCTTGGGTAAATACACACATTTTAAGCAGTCTACGAGAAGAGAATAAATGTTTTTTATAACTTTTCTCTGGTATTGAAATAATATAATGCTTGACAGTTGAGGTAACGCTAAGAATAAAACTCGAACGCACTCACCAATCTACTAGTCTGAGGAGGTCACCTGACCTACAGGCAAACGTAATTGCTTTCCGTGATTTTTTCGTTGCCATCGTCGGTTGGTCGTCATTTCGTATTTTCTTTTTGTTAGTTCAATAACCACACAGCAGTTCAATAAGTACACAACAGATCAATAACCACACCAGTAGTTCAATGACCACACATTAAAAAATAAAAATATAAATAAATAAATAAATGTGATGAAGGTGACATATAACCAACAAGTAAGTATTAAAATGAAAATGATAATGCTCAGTTTTTCTTTTTGTTAGTTCAATAACCACACAGCAGTTCAATAAGTACACAACAGATCAATAACCACACCAGTAGTTCAATGACCACACATTAGTTCATTGAGCGTAAACTACATGTAGCTGCGGGAAAAATAGCCACAAATACGTTAGTTATTTTTAATAAGAATGTATAGCATTAAGTAAGTGGTAAATACTCATTTAGCTATGGTACGAGAACTAAATAGATAGATAGCGCTATGTTACACTGTTATTAAGTTCTAGTGAGCTCACTAATATAGACAGGAACATAGACTGATGTTAATTTAAAATTTTTAGTCTGCTCAGAAGGTCTGTCATTCTCGTCAGGGGCACAGTGAACAGACCTGGAAAGAGAGTCAGCGTCGAAAAGTGAAAACACCGACTCGGTCCGGAGAAAACTTTTACTCCCTTAACAACCTTCCAACGAGCAGAGATGGCAAGAAAATCACCATTTAACTATGACATGCATTATTCGCATCACCCAAACAAAAATTTCCTCATTTGCTTTTTGTATAAATTCACTGGTTATCTTTTTTAAGATTGCGACCACCGAAGGGCACCAAAGTACTTCCTCGCGTCTGTTGAAGAATCATGCTCCTGGAAAGCCTATCCGTGTGCTAATTACAATAGATTTCTGAAAGGGAGTTGCACAAGCTGTAATGGTGAATGTCCAAGCTTGGGTTTCGATGCTGATCTTACTAAAAAGGAAGGAAGCTTCTACTTGCAAACAACCTCGAATGCTCCTTTTTGTGGTACGATGTAATCCATCAATAACGACGCATTAATGTAGGCATGTGTTCAATGTACCTTTTTTGTCCTTTTATATATCATGATCACAGTTCCTGTTCACTTTTGAAAAGAATGCGAAAGAAAAGGAAGAAAAACATTACTGAAACGTTCCATTACAGGCACTGGAGCCAATTCAAACTTCTCAAACTCCCTAAATATTACCCCCTGAGATTCAATTTTGTTTTTGGCAGAAATTAGATCTACTGCTGATCGTTTGATATCGGATTCCGTTTTGAATTTAAATAACTGAAATAGATACAAATGATGTTTCGCTTTTTCTCCGAGATTGTGAAAGGCATTTTTAGTGCATCGCCTTACATTGGACAGTATCTACACGAAATTTAAGTAGAAGGCCGCAGGCCTACCTTGTTTCTGATAAAAAAGGCAAACACTGCAAAGCTAAGAAGAAAAACTCTAACTACCGTACTCGGCTTCTGCCACATGAATTTGGTGAGCCGTACTTTATCCCCCCGGAGGGGGGGGGCGCGGTACTGTCATTCCTCTTCCATCTGATTTTCTTTCAACCCGAGTCAGCATACGGTATATTAAAGTCGTCACACTGTACATCGCACTTTTTCCTGATGATAACCACGGGAGATCTTGTCCTCCACCTCCTTTTAATTTCTTGGTGCATGATTAATTCTTTTATTCTTTTAAAAGACAGTTATACTGGTTTGGTTGAGCAGTGAATGTTTTAGGAGAAATTAAATGCTGATCAATGTTAGAGGGAAGGAAGCGTCTGGGATACTTTGACTAGAGCAAAATATCTTTTCGAACGAAACATCACAAAATATTAATACTTTTACCCTGCTTAGTTTGGACAGAACAGATTAATAGGACATTTTCTCCTTTATTGCAGGAAAGACGCCCTAAAGGCCGATAGAAACTAAAACAGCAGGAGTAATGGTTCAATGATGGTGCCTTGTTTACTTTGTCGGTTAATTTTACGCACCTTGGTGTTAGTGTACTGTCTGCAATAAAATAAGTGATATGTTATAAGTCTGGGTGCTTTTGTTTATTCCGATTTATTCATAGGTCCGGTTGAATAGGCTTAGATTTGAAAAATTTGACACTTTTTACAGCTACTATTATCAACACGACATTCTTATAGATAATCAACTAGCATATTGGAGATACACAGTTAATACAAAAGTAAAAACAAATTGAGTGTTTTTCGCTTGGATTGTCCGTAGTTTACTATTGCATGTGGAATCCGAAATTCTGGACTTTGGAATCGGGAAAACAGCTCAAGGAATCCGGAATCCAAGTTCCACTGACAAAGAAAAATAATTAAGGAGGGAGATTTTGCTGTTTTTTGAACCATCCCCACAACGAAAACCTGTAACAGGCCGCTATATGTTTCGTAGGCTGAGAAAAATTAATTCCCTGCAGCGGAATACAGCCGCCTTTCGCCGGTGCCCGAAAAAGCGATAACAGTGAGCGAACCGTATAAACACTTTCTCACACCTCAAGACGAGAAGCGGGCCGCTACTTTGCACAGGCGCATGCGCAGAACGCACAAGAGAATCCACAAGTGAAATAACAGATTTCATTTGATGACAATCCATTTCAACAGATTTGATCATCAGGATCTAATACTAACAAACTGAGTGAAGAGTCTAGTTGAACCGAAACCATACGTTGTCGGTACCCTTACATCTGTCAATCAACGCTGAGAAACAAATCGTTTGTTAACTTACATGAACACTTAATATTACTACTGTTACTACGCTCGCCGTCAAATCTTTCAATCTTTGCGTGAAATAATGAGACGTCGGCCGCGGTAATAATATCCGAATGAAGGATTTTTTAAATATGGCGCGCGAAGTTTTTTAAACAAACCTCATTGATCAAACGATTATTAATTACTTTAAATGAGATGAATCGCTCAATAAACGTCAATAAGGTCCAAGCCCAAGTGAGAATTGGACAAAAGATTTCTTGCTATATACTGTCTTTTCTCTTTGACAATTTTGTAACCTAGTAATTACCCGATCTAATAAACAGGCAAAACAAAAGATCAAAACACATCTGATAGCTGTGATAGTCCCGCAACAACAATGATACATCCCTCCCAATTTTTCCCTAACCTTTAACTTATTAACAACACTCGTCTCTCACCGACTAAAGGTGCTCTTTTTGACCTGCAATAAAGTAGCATTGGTTGAAAATACTATGCCGAACTTTACGTTTCTTGTCTTACTTGCGCATTCGTTGACTCTAAGGATGTCAGAGGCAGCTTAACCTGCTGCCATTTTTGTAAAGCAAGTCAACTAACATGAAGGATTTTTTTCGCGGTTTTTTTACCATTTATACAGTACAAAAATGTCATTCATTATTGTCGACCCTAAAATACCGCTATGCATTTATCAATCCCAGTAAAGGCTGCTTATCGTAAATTTAATTCCCGTTCAGTTCTGCCGGCTCCTTTGTTAAATAAAAAAGAAGCATCCTTTACTCTGAAAGCCATTGGAAGTTCCCACCGGCTTTTGCTCTCCCCACCACCTCCCCAAACACTCACGGCCCTTCTTCCCATCTTTTCTATCCCGTTCTCCAAAACGATTAGATGAAATGACTAGTAAACTTCATGCTGTCACTAGTACAAACTTTTATTTACAACACTACTAGAACTTACTATTTACACAGCAATGAACTCAAATATTTTTTTTCTCCTATAACTACACAACTGTATGACATAATTGTGAATGCTATCTTTTGTACTCATCTTACTTATAAAACCTATAAACTCTTTAAAGTTCTTTCACGCCACTCATCAAATTCAATATATTCTAACACTATTCAAAAGTCTTATGCGAACTTAGTAGGGTTGATATCTGTAGAGACCACGGCTGTAAGGTAGTCTTGCGGGCTCAGCAGGTCTGATTGTGAACTGGTCAGGGTGGAACTTGGGTACACGGTCTGACTTGACTGAGAATTGACGACTGACAACTGTTCTCTGGTTTATATCTCTAAAGTAGCTTTCCATCGCTGCACAGGACACTCGTTCGCCTTGTTTCCAGTGATCTGGATAGGGTCGGCTAACAAACTGGTTTGACGGGCTGGTCTGACAGACGAAAGACATCTTTCTCTCCAGTTTCCTTGATTTGGCTCGTCGGTTTTGAAACCAATACTACAAGAAAGAGAAAAAAAGCGGAGTTATTAGTTCAGTTAAGGCAATCACAACAAAAATATTTCACACAACACACAGAACCCTTAATAATTTGTATGAATTCCAAAACATTTTCTGACATCAAAATAACGTTTAAATCGCAATATGAGTTGTAGGTTCAACTACTTAAGAATTATACAAGATTGATAAAAAATAAATAACGTGGAAAATAACGATGATTAAGATGAAGTAAAACTTTCTGTCCGAAAAATGCCTACTGGTATTCAAAACGTTTTCTGACTGGAGTGAAAAATCACATCGCAATTGCCGAGCTTTGAATTGATCAACATTTACATCTTAGTATTTCCCGGTAACACCGAAAATGATCAGAACCAAACCAAACTGAAATTTCATTCCTTTTAGGTTACAAATGCTCATTGTCTCCTGAAATTTACGTACACGATAGGAAACATGAAAAATAGAAACTCACCTTCAGACTTTTAGCCGTGATTCCGAGTCTTTCTACCAGTTCCTCCTCGTCTTCCTTTAGCAAATATGGCCACCGTCTGAATGCTAATTCCAGCTCTCCAAGTTCGATAGGTGAGAAGGTCGTGCGCTGTCGCTTCTCCTTCGTTGAATATTCAGTTGGAGTCGAAGCTGGATCGGGCTCACTGTCACAGTCGCTGCTGGAACTTGAGATGTCGGAGTAAGGAGTTAACGGTGGACTGGTTGCCTTGTGGCTGGGACGCGGACTTGCGCAGTCGGAGTAAGGCGATAACGGCGGACTGGTATCACTGTTGCATTCTGTAAATTAAAGAAGAATTGGATTTTAGTTTTACACATGTCAGCTATTATTTCCCCTTAATATCACTTAAATACAAGTAGTCAACATAAATATAGACACATGTTTTAATGTTTATTCCTACGGACAATTTTCGGTTTGGATACATAACTTGTTTCTTATCAAAAACCGCTCTAATGGCTGGTTCTCGTAACTAACAGAAATCGTCGTCTAAAGCTGAGTATTTCTCTTTTTTTTGTTTCTGAAATGGATTAAACTAATAGAAAGGCAACAAGATAAAAATTGACTTTTAATAGTTATTTCGATAGTCAAAGTTGCCAAATGATGCCCTTGACTAATTAAGGGCTCGAGTATCTTAAGATGGAACTCTTAACTTACCAGAACTTGAGGGAGATTGGGTGATTTCACGTTCTAGACCCAGGATACTGCAGATGGAGAAGTCTGTTAGAGACTTGCTGGAGACTGGAGCCAAGGATGGTGCACGAGCAGGAACTTGATTTGAAGACAGCACGCGTGACTCTCTGACTTGCGTATTACGTACAAGAGAATCCACAAGGGAAACGATAGATTTCAACTGAGCACAATCCATTTGACTGAGCTGATAACTTTTCACAGTACAGTTGAGCAACAAACTGAGTGAAGAGTCGTTTGGAACAGAAACCTTATTTATAATCTGCATTTACTGAACAACAAAGCTTGCGGCCCGACAAACATATTATTTATCGACCCGCATGGCTATAGTCTGCGCGTGCCGGCGGCGGTTCTTTTAAAAGACCTAAAACCGATACAGAGCCGGTTGCGGTATTCTCTGACTAACTAAGATAATCTATCTTGGATAACAAAGTTTTCAAAAGTGGCTTTTATTGTTTATTAATGGCGACGAATCCTTATTTCTGTAAAATTGGAAAAAAATTTGTTAAACGATGTAACGAAACTTTAAGATTCCACGAAAAAGTATGATTAATTTCTCATGAGAAATAATCACTTCTCCTGGTTGATCAACAACAGACACCGATGTTTCAGCTGGCGTTTGTTCAAGTGTAGCTCATTCTTTGCTTAGGAAGAAAGCCCATCTCTACTCTCGTTTTACTGCGTTCAAAATCATTCAATGAACTATTTCAACAATTAAAATTAAGCATTGTGAGCGACTAAAATACAACTGCTTCATGGTACTGCGACAATTAATTTCTTGACGCTCAGTCATTGTTTTCAGGACCATGGAAGCTTAATCAGAAATAAACACAACCATGCTGAAAAAAGTTGACGTTTGTTATCACTTTTATTCGGTTTGAGCTCAGTAGAAGTATTTAGATGTTTTGTTGACCCAGTGGGAAGATAGCAGAATGTTCTAGCCCTAAGCACCAACTCAGATCGAGCTGGATCGAAACAACTCCTGTATTACCCTATCGCTAATAATATCCTTTCGTCATTTATTGAGTTACAATGGTTTATCCAGGTTATGTTCAAGTTTGAATTTGCTTTGTAGCCTGTTCCAGCTGCAGGTGTTTAAATAGTGGAGTGTGGCGCGAAGTCAAAAGGCGAGGAAAAATAATTAAGGAGGGAGATTTTGCGCCATCCCCACAACGAACGCCTGTAACAGGCCGCTATATTTTTCGTAGGCTGAGAAAAATGAATTCCCTGCAGCGGAATACAGCCGCCTTTCGCCGCTGCCCGTCGTTGCGACGTTTCGTGAAACGCTCCCAGCTACGGGAAGCGATAAGAAGCGGCCATTTCTGCGCGCTGAAGAGAAGCACGCGTAGCAAGCGTTTCTGTGCGGTTTCAGAGCAAAGAACGAGGAACGAGGGTCAAAGACCGCGCGAAAAATGGCCGCTCCTTCCGTCTTACTTGCGCATTCGTTGACTTTAAGGATGTGACAGGCAGCTTAACCTGCCGCAATTTTTGTAAAGCAAGTCAACTAACATGAAGGATTTTTTTTTGCGTTTTTTCACCAGTTATACAGTACAAAAATGTCATTTATTATCGTCAACCCTTAAATACCGCTATGCTTTCATCAATCCCAGAACAGGCTGCTTATCGTAAATTTAATTCCCGTTCAGTTCTGCCGGCTCCTTTGTTAAATAAAAAAGAAGCATCCTTTACTCTGAAAGCCATTGGAAGTTCCCACCGGCTTTTGCTCTCCCCACCACCTCCCCCGACACTCACGGCCCTTCTTCCCATCTTTTCTTCCCATTCTCCCCAAACGATTAGATGAAATGACTAGTAAACTTCATGCTGTCACTAGTACAACATTTTATTTAAAACACTACTAGAACTTACTATTTACACAGAAATGAACTCAAATATTTTTTCTCCTATAACTACACAACTGTATGACATATTTTGAATGCTATCTTTTGTACACATCTTACTTATAAAACCTATAAACTATTCAAAGTTCTTTCACGCCACTCATCAAATTCAATATATTCTAACACTATTCAAAAGTCTTATGCGAACTTAGTAGGGTTGATATCTGTAGAGACCACGGCTGTAAGGTAGTCTTGCGGGCTCAGCAGGTCTGATTGTGAACTGGTCAGGGTGGAACTTGGGTACACGGTCTGACTTGACTGAGAATTGACGACTGACAACTGTTCTCTGGTTTATATCTCTAAAGTAGCTTTCCATCGCTGCACAGGACACTCGTTCGCCTTGTTTCCAGTGATCTGGATAGGGTCGGCTAACAAACTGGTTTGACGGGCTGGTCTGACAGACGAAAGACATCTTTCTCTCCAGTTTCCTTGATTTGGCTCGTCGGTTTTGAAACCAATACTACAAGAAAGAGAAAAAAAGCGGAGTTATTAGTTCAGTTAAGGCAATCACAACAAAAATATTTCACACAACACACAGAACCCTTAATAATTTGTATGAATTCCAAAACATTTTCTGACATCAAAATAACGTTTAAATCGCAATATGAGTTGTAGGTTCAACTACTTAAGAATTATACAAGATTGATAAAAAATAAATAACGTGGAAAATAACGATGATTAAGATGAAGTAAAACTTTCTGTCCGAAAAATGCCTACTGGTGTTCAATACATTTTCTGACTGGAGAGAAAAATCACATCGCAATTGCCGAGCTTTGAATTGTTCAACATTTACATCTTAGTATTTCCCGGTAACACCGAAAATGATCAGAACCAAACCAAACTGAAATTTTATTCCTTTTAGGTTACAAATGCTCATTGGTTCCTGAAATTTACGTACACAATAGGAAACATGAAAAATAGAAACTCACCTTCAGACTTTTAGCCGTGATTCCAAGTCTTTGTACCAGTTCCTCCTCGTCTTCCTTTAGCAAATATGGCCACCGTCTGAATGCTAATTCCAGCTCTCCAAGTTCGATAGGTGAGAAGGTCGTGCGCTGTCGCTTCTCCTTCGTTGAATGTTCAGTTGGAGTCGAAGCTGGATCGGGCTCACTGTCACAGTCGCTGCTGGAACTTGAGATGTCGGAGTAAGGAGTTAACGGTGGACTGGTTGCCTTGTGGCTGGGACGCGGACTTGCGCAGTCGGAGTAAGGCGATAACGGCGGACTGGTATCACTGTTGCATTCTGTAAATTAAAGAAGAATTGGATTTTAGTTTTACACATGTCAGCTATTATTTCCCCTTAATATCACTTAAATACAAGTAGTCAACATAAATATAGACACATGTTTTAATGTTTATTCCTACGGACAATTTTCGGTTTGGATACATAACTTGTTTCATATCAAAAACCGCTCTAATGGCTGGTTCTCGTAACTAACAGAAATCGTCGTCTAAAGCTGAGTATTTCTCTTTTTTTGTTTCTGAAATGGATTAAACTAATAGAAAGGCAACAAGATAAAAATTGACTTTTAATAGTTATTTCGATAGTCAAAGTTGCCAAATGATGCCCTTGACTAATTAAGGGCTCGAGTATCTTAAGATGGAACTCTTAACTTACCAGAACTTGAGGGAGATTGGGTGATTTCACGTTCTAGACCCAGGATACTGCAGATGGAGAAGTCTGTTAGAGACTTGCTGGAGACTGGAGCCAAGGATGGTGCACGAGCAGGAACTTGATTTGAAGACAGCACGCGTGACTCTCTGACTTGCGTATTACGTACAAGAGAATCCACAAGGGAAACGATAGATTTCAACTGAGCACAATCCATTTGACTGAGCTGATAACTTTTCACAGTACAGTTGAGCAACAAACTGAGTGAAGAGTCGTTTGGAACAGAAACCTTATTTATAATCTGCATTTACTGAACAACAAAGCTTGCGGCCCGACAAACATATTATTTATCGACCCGCATGGCTATAGTCTGCGCGTGCCGGCGGCGGTTCTTTTAAAAGACCTAAAACCGATACAGAGCCGGTTGCGGTATTCTCTGGCTAACTAAGATAATCTACCTTGGATAACAAAGTTTTCAAAAGTGGCTTTTATTGTTTATTAATGGCGACGAATCCTTATTTTCTGTAAAATTGGAAAAAGATTCGTTAAACGATGTAACGAAACTTTAAGATTCCACGAAAAAGTATGATTAATTTCTCATGAGAAAAAATCACTTCTCTTGGTTGATCAACAACAGACACCTATGTTTCAGCTTGCGTTTGTTCAAGTGTAGTTTATTCTTTGCTTAGGAAGAAAGCCCATCTCTACTCTCGTTTTACTGCGTTCAAAATCATTCAATGAACTATTTCAACAATTAAAATTAAGCATTGTGAGCGACTAAAATACATTCAACTGCTTCATAATACTGCGACAATTAATTTCTTGACGCTCAGTCATTGTTTTCAGGACCATGGAAGCTTAATCAGAAATAAACACAACCATGCTGAAAAAAGTTGACGTTTGTTATCACTTTTATTCGGTTTGAGCTCAGTAGAAGTATTTAGATGTTTTGTTGACCCAGTGGGAAGATAGCAGAATGTTCTAGCCCTAAGCACCAACTCAGATCGAGCTGGATCGAAACAACTCCTGTATTACCCTATCGCTAATAATATCCTTTCGTCATTTATTGAGTTACAATGGTTTATCCAGGTTATGTTCAAGTTTGAATTTGCTTTGTAGCCTGTTCCAGCTGCAGGTGTTTAAATAGTGGAGTGTGGCGCGAAGTCAAAAGGCGAGGAAAAATAATTAAGGAGGGAGATTTTGCGCCATCCCCACAACGAACGCCTGTAACAGGCCGCTATATTTTTCGTAGGCTGAGAAAAATGAATTCCCTGCAGCGGAATACGCCTTTCGCCGCTGCCCGTCGTTGCGACGTTTCGTGAAACGCTCCCAGCTACGGAAAGCGATAAGAAGCGGCCATTTCTGCGCGCTGAAGAGAAGCACGCGTAGCAAGCGATTCTGTGCGGTTTCAGAGCAAAGAACGAGGAACGAGGGTCAAAGACCGCGCGAAAAATGGCCGCTCCTTCCGTCTTACTTGCGCATTCGTTGACTTTAAGGATGTCACAGGCAGCTTAACCTGCCGCCATTTTTGTAAAGCAAGTCAACTAACATGAAGGATTTTTTTTTTTTTGCGTTTTTTCACCAGTTATACAGTACAAAAATGTCATTTATTATCGTTGACCCTTAAATACCGCTATACTTTCATCAATCCCAGTACAGGCTGCTTATCGTAAATTTAATTCCCGTTCAGTTCTGCCGGCTCCTTTGTTAAATAAAAAAGAAGCATCCTTTACTCTGAAAGCCATTGGAAGTTCCCACCGGCTTTTGCTCTCCCCACCACCTCCCCCGACACTCACGGCCGTTCTTCACATCTTTTCTTCCCATTCTCCCGAAACGATTAGATAAAATGACTAGTAAACTTCATGCTGTCACTAGTACAACCTTTTATTTAAAACACTACTAGAACTTACTATTTACACAGCAATGAACTCAAATATTTTTTCTCCTATAACTACACAACTGTATGACATAATTTTGAATGCTATCTTTTGTACACATCTTACTCATAAAACCTATAAACTCTTTAAAGTTCTTTCAGGCCACTCATCAAATTCAATATATTCTAACACTATTCAAAAGTCTTATTCGAACTTAGTAGGGTTGATATCTGTAGAGAGCGCGGCTGTAAGGTAGTCTTGCGGGCTCAGCAGGTCTGATTGTGAACTGATCAGGGTGGAACTTGGGTACACGGTCTGACTTGACTGAGAATTGACGACTGACAACTGTTCTCTGGTTTATATCTCTAAAGTAGCTTTCCATCGCTGCACAGGACACTAGTTTGCCTTGTTTCCAGTGATCTGGATAGGGTCCGCTAACAAACTGGTTTGACGGGCTGGTCTGACAGACGAAAGACATCTTTGTCTCCAGTTTCCTTGATTTGGCTCGTCGGTTTTGAAACCAATACTACAAGAAAGAGAAAAAAAGCGGAGTTGTTAGTTCAATTACGGCAATCACAACAAAAATTCACACAACACACAAAACCCATAATAATTTGTATGACTTCCAAAACAGTTCTGACATCAGAATAGCGTTTAAATCGCTATACGAGTTGTAACTTTAATTACTTAAGAATTATACACGAATGCTAAAAAATAAATAACGTGGAAAATAACGATGACTAAGATGAAGTAAAACGTTGCAAGATTACATGCAATTACTGTCCGAAAAATGCATACTGGTGTTCAAAACATTTTCTGACTGGAGTGAAAAATCACATCGCAATTGCCGAGCTTTGAATCGATCAACATCTTAATACTTCCCGGCAACACCGAAAATGATCAGAACCAAACCAAACTGAAATAGTATTCCTTTTAGATTACAAATACTCATTGTTTCCTGAAATTTACGTACACGATACGAAACATGAAAGATAGAAATTCACCTTCAGACTTTTAGCCGTGATTCCGAGTCTTTGTACCAGTTCGTCCTCGTCTTCCTTTAGCAGATATGGCCGCCGTCTGAATGCTAATTCCAGCTCTCCAAGTTCGATAGGTGAGAAGGTCGTACGCTGTCGCTTCTTCTTCGTTGAATGTTCAGTTGGGGTCGAAGCTTGATCGGGCTCACTGTCACAGTCGCTGCTAGAACTTGTGACGTCAGAGTAAGGAGTTAACGGTGGACTGGTTGCCTTGTGGCTTGGACGCGGACTTGCGCCGTCGGAGTAAGGCGATAACGGCGGACTGGTATCACTGTTGCATTCTGTAAATTAAAGAAGAATTGGATTTTAGTTTTACACATGTCAGCTATTATTTCCCCTTAATATCGCTTAAATACAAGTAGTCAACATAAATATAGACAAAGGTTTTAATGTTTATTCCTACGGACAAGTTGTTTCATGTATAGTATCGCTCTAATGGCTGGTTTTAACTAACAGAAATCGCCCGTCTAAAGCTGAGTAATTCTCTTTTTCTGTTTCTGAGATGGATTAAACTAGTAGAAGGCAACGGGATAAAAATTGACTTCTAATAGTCATTTCGATAGTCAAAGATGCCAAATGATGTCCTCGACTAATTAAGGGCTCGAGTATCTTAAGATGGAACTCTTAACTTACCAGAACTTGAGGGAGATTGGGTGATTTCACGTTCTAGACCCAGGATGCTGCAGATGGAGAAGTCCGTTAGAGATTTGCTGGAGAATGGAGCCAAGGATGGTGCACGAGCAGGAACTTCATTTGAAGACAGCACGCGTGACTTTCTGACATGCGTATTACGTACAAGAGAATCCACAAGGGAAACAATAGATTTCAACTGAGCACAATCCATTTGACTGAGCTGATAACTTTTCACAGTACAGTTGAGCAACAAACTGAGTGAAGAGTCGTTTGGAACTGAAACCTTATTTATACTCTGCATATCACGAACAACAAAGCTAGCGGCCCGACAAACAAATTATTTATCGAACCGCATAGGCTAGCGCCGTTCATTTAATACTTTATTTGTTAACAGTAATTAAACAGCGCGTGCCGCTTGCGGTTCACCGACTGAAAAGGACTAAAACCGTTACAGAGCCGTCCGAGAGCCGACCGTGGTATACTCTGAACGACTCCGACACACAAATCTTCGATAACAAGGTTTTCAAATTCTCTCTCGCTCTAGCTCTCCGTCGTCCTCCCTTTTTCTCGCGGAGATTTACTGGCCTGTCGCCTATTTCCTCTTTTTTTCTGTCTTTCTCCTTCTCTTTATTCCAAATTTGTGGACATGACAATTAATCTACGCTTAATTCTTTAGACAACACGGATACAGAAACAATCTCCGCTTTCCGTTTTTGTCTTTATTGACTCTTTAGTTGTATTTTAGTAACTAGTTTGTGTTAACTTCCCTGGAATTAAGAACGTATCTTTTATCTTCTTGTTGTTGTTATTGCTTTTTTTGGTTGTAAGTTGAAAATAGTTTACTTACAAAAAGAACGTACACTCGCGCGCACAAAATAACCCCCGAAAAACAAAAGGAAAGCAATAATTTCGTTCTCCAAAGTAACAGGTCTAACATTTTGAGCGATGTAATATTTCCAAATAATCCCATCAAACTTGAAAGTTTCAAGTTTCACCGCCTGTCCTTTGGCAAGGACACTTTGGTGAACAGCTGCAACGTCCCGCAACTTTAAGTTCGAGGCCAGTTGTCGGTTTCCGCGGTGCTGGACAAGACCAGGTCGCGACGGCCGGACTAGCTCAGTCAGCAGAGCAGTGGACTGCAGACAGGGACGTCGCGGGTTCGATTCCCGGGGCCACACAAATACTCAGGTTCTTAAAATAACTGAGAAATGAAGGTATTGCCTTTATACCCGGCCTGCAAACGGCTGGACCTTCACATGGCTCGGATGACCTCGTAAAATCACGGTCCTGTTTCTACGCTTCTTTACGTATTTTGTTATTTCCGATTTGGCCATTACCTTGACTGACTTTCATGCAGTATAAAATCCTCGTGGTGATATTGCGGAGCAGATCTCGTATCCAGATCTTCCAGCGTGTTCAAGCAATAGTGAGATCTGGGCGTACGATTGTTCAGTTATACCCCTGCTCTTTCCAGTATTTCAGTATAAGTTTAAGGTATCCATTTAATATAAACTACTACACAATTCAAAACACATCGTTGATATAGTATTTTTGGTGTATTTATTTCAGTTTACATACAGATATGAAAATAATATATTCATGTAATATATTCTCTAGCCAGTACACTCAGTTAATATCAATAACTTGAAGAAAAAGCATTCTTTATTTCACTTCATAATACAATTATTATTTTAATATAGGCATAATTCAAATTCTAAAATAAATTTAGTTCGGCAGCGATAAAACACCGCATAAATTTAAATTAGGGAAAAAAATATAATAATCTTTATAGGTAAAAAGCTTTAACAAAATAAATTTCAACTGACTCCAGAAGAAAGATCTATGATAAGCAATGAATTTCATTAAAACGATTCTAAGTATTTTCATTAAATATGCGGAAAAGCTACCTTTAGCAACCATTAAAATTCCACTAAAATTAGTTCATTTAAAGCCCCTTTTTTTCCCTTGTGTCAAGAATATTCCTGCCGAATGGGGTTGCGTACTCCTTATATACATAAATTCACTCACTCACTAGAAAAAATTCAGAAAATCATTCAGTCTCATTCATTCTTAATAACATTTCTCATCCTTTACTAACTTCACATAAAATTCTTCGTATTGATCCATTTATTTGGCTGGTCTCTCTGTTCGTTGACGTTTGCGTTTCTAAGAGCGTCCGTTGGTGTAACCAATGGATTTTTTAGTTCTGCATGAACATTTCTTTTTTCCATGATTTTACTGTCGACATAAAAGCAATACAGGGATGCTGCCAAATTGGTGCGATATGTTTCCCTTATAAAAATACAATTTCCTATCAATAATTTCATTTAACATGACGTTCTATCTAAGTTTGAAGTCAAGCCGGTTTGACAGAGGGACCACAGTAACCGAAGTAATTCCAGTGTTCTTAATTTTAGTATGACAAGGTACGCAGTTTATAAATGACTGTGCACTGAGGAGAAGGGTTAATTCGAGGCCTGAAGCCAAGGGTCACTTACCAAACTTCGACCGCAAGTAAGGCGAAGCAAGCACGTAAACATTGAATTACTACAGCGCATTATATAAAGTAGCATCCTTAACCTTATAAAGGTAAGCACAATTATTTCTGAGTTGAGAAAAGGTTATACATATTGATCAGGATGTATAAATGTCAGAGAATTTGTACAACGCGCGCTCGAAAAGGCAGACTTCTCAAAATCGGTCTTTCTTTACTCATCTATGGCTTCAACGTCACGAAAACTTGCTGAGAGACGAAAGCTGTTTCGGCTGGAAGCCGACAGAGGGCGGCCGTCATCAGATGGGGTACCTGGAGGACTGGTACTATTTATTAAGCGCCATTGCAGTTCTTCATTTTCTAATGAAAGTCTTTTACTCTTTGCGCTCTCTCGTTCTAAACTGTTCCTTAACGAGTCACGTTCAACAGAAAGCTGCCTGAAATATAAGTAAAAAGAAATGGAAAAAAAGCTTCAGTTTAATTTTAAAAGTATTTCGCATGTGGTACTACATCAAAACGCTATTTGCATGTCTCAGAGATAGACGACAAAGCTGACGTATTGGGCGCGGGTCTTCAGTTTGCGCACATCATCCGGACATGAAACTCAAACTTTCTTATCAAATCTTATCAAAGACTGAATCTTTTGGTACCAAATAGGGGTCACGATTAGCTCTGACAAAAGGCTAGTGCTCCAACAGTCTTCATCGCAGCCATTTTTGTCTCGTAACGCAGCGCTCCTCCCCAGCAAAGAGAGGGCAGGAGCATGGCGTGACGAGACAAAAACGGTTGCGAGGGAGACTTACCCTCGAAAGGCCTTCGTTGAATCCCATTAGTTTCTGCGGTACTAAATGACGTTATTAGAAACATTTAGATTCCAGGACAAGGTCAACTCCGAGGACGAGATTTAACGTAAAGTTTCTTTGTGTATTCCAAAAAAATCACTACCGGGAAGCTTTTACCAAAAGGGTTAGAACTGTTATTTGTATTCTTGAAGGAGGTGGAGCCCTCTCCCAGTCGCAAAATTATGAAAAAACGTCGAACATTTGACATCTTGTTTACGTCTCAAGGACATTCTAGCTAGAACTTGTAAAGAATGACGACGGCTATCACTTTTTCCCGCCAAAATTACGCTGGTTCACAAGCGCACACTACGTTAAGTATTAAGAAAATCTCGTACTCGAGAGAACCTTAGGGTAGGTTATTCAAACGAAGTCTAACTTAAACCGTGGTTTAGGAAATCTTTAGACCTACAGATCTCATCTTCAGTGGGTTATTTGAAGAAGACAAATACTTTTCTAGTCTAAGCCATATGCTTTCACGAAACTGTTCGCGATGGATGGTGCTTACATTAAAGCGTTGGGCAAACTGAAAATGGCTCTGAACGCGGTTTTGTTAAACACTGGCTAAACTTCATTTAAATAACAGGCCCTTAAGGTTTCCATTAGCCGAGTTAAGAATGCGAGATTTTCAAATTGAAATTAAATGCGACAAACTAGTCTAGAAACGGTTGCTGCCCCTGAAAATATCTAATTGTTACGAGACTCCTTGTGTTCGTCTTGATTTTCAGTGACGGATGAGGTAAGTAAAATGCACACACCCTTCAATAAAATACACTCACCTTTCAAATCTCGACTTTGTTTCCACGACGAATGATAGTGACTCGTTTTCTTGTTGCAGTTTTTGAGTCTGCGTCTTGATATCTTCTAGTTTCTCCAACTAAAACCGAAAAGATGTTAATACTAATTATACGACAACGTTCATTCCTAAGTAGCATCTTAACCTTATCAGCCCAGAAAGTGATCACATCTCAACTTCCAATCTCATTTCTCAACTTTTCCCAATTTTACATTGCAAAAAACATACAAACTTAAGAGGTGTATTCAGCCAAACGGTGCTACTTGCTTTTCAGCATTTACAAGAATTTTGAATTTTGCTTGGAGTACGATTTAGAACACTCTTTGCAGTGAAAAAGCAAGGAAATAACATACAACATAAGGAAATGCCGGGAAGTACATATTAAATACCTCCAAGTGTTTCTCCATCTTTTCCTTTCTCAGCCGTTTTATTTCCTCGTTCTTCATTTCAAGCACGGCTTTTAGGCTATCAAGTTCTGCCGGCAAAGATTCATACTTCTTAATCTCTTCCTAAAAAGAAAAGCAGAATCGTAGTTGCAGCGTATTTGGAAGACGTTCAACTTAGGATCATGGCATTCTTATACAACAGCGTCAGTGGTACATTCTTAACCCTATAAGTCCCAATAGTGACCAAGATCAATTTTCTCCTAACAATATCCATACACTGTCAAGAGATAAGTTATGAGAATTAATAAAATGATCACCCAAGACAAAATGCCTTGATCTATTATCAAATTCTCTCAACTAATTCTTTAATGAAATGTATGGAGATCAGTTTGGAGAATTTATCTGTTGATACTGGAGCTTAAAGGGTTAACCAGAACAAGCGACTGAAAAGACGATCAGTGACTTCCAATACAATAAACGATGGCGCTAACTACCGTGCATTCAGCATTGCGCCGAAAAGTATTCTTAATGAATTCAGAAACAGACAATGTCCAAAACAAAGTTGAGTTTCCAAACAAAACCACAACTCAACCTTTCTCCCATTTTTTTTTTCACTCCACTTTCTTTTTCTCGTCTTGCGTCACACTACCAAAAGCCTGGCGACGGAACATTTAAACTTTACGCGCGCTGTTAAAT